TTCCCAAGGTTCCTAAATTTCACCTAATCGACGATTATTTTTAACCCTTTGACTACTGTTGGCGCCTATTGGCGTCCGAAACACATTGGCTTTCCGGTACTGTAGGCGCCAATTGGCGTCCGAAACATATTGGCTTCCCGGTACTGTAGGCGCCAATTGGCGTCCAAATCAAATTTCGCTTGTTCCGCCTATTTTAAAATTTTATAATTGGTCTTATGGTAATGTAGAGTAATGTAGAAAGTTATTTAAAAAAAGCTTAAAATTAATGTTCACTTCAAGTAATATTCGTTTAATGTAATAAATTTCAGTATTTTGAATATTTTAATATACTTCCTCAGAAATGCATGTCTAACGAAAAATTTCGCCGTACCCAGTGGACGTCTCGAATGAATTCGTACCGTACCGTACGGCCAGTGCGTGCCAAAGTCTGCCGTAGTCAAAGGGTTAATAACTGTACAGAAGTTAACAGACCTATTTATGTCCATAGCATCGCAGTCGAGCACAGTGAGCAGTGCGCCATCGGTCGGCAGGCGCCAGGAGGACGCTCCGACCTCGAGGCTATCTTTCCACAGGCAGGGCAGTCAATCGCAGACCGAGGACACCGAGGATACCATGAAGAATCTTCGGAAAACGTTCGCCGGAATCTTCGGCGACATGTAAACGTAAACCGAGAATCCGCCGAGGCAAAGGAGATCGTTAACATTGTTCGATTCCCAACGATGATTTACAGGACAGCTACTTTACATGGTAATCGCTTAATTAACATTTTAACTGTCTCTCTTCTTATGTAACTTGGCTCATACGACGGGTCTCATAAGTCCTGGGAGCGTCTTCAGATGTTTCAGTGATATATGATGTATGATACATGACATATGATATAAGATACATAATATATGATATATGATACATGATATATATTATTTTGCATCGCCTCCCAAGACTTATGAATCATCGTATCAGAATCGAGATAACAAAACTGTGAAAGGGTAACGCGAGGTCGACATTTGCAGATCATCAATATCGTCGAAATGACGATTGCTATGGCGCAATATATATAAACATAAACATAACTGATTAACAAGACTAATTTCGAACCGATTAGGTTGATTCTTATTGTTTGAAAAAAAAAATCAGCATAAAAGGAAGATATATCTCTCTGTGTGTGTACGTTTCGAACGAGTACCCCGTTTGATTAATCGTTTAATTACGGTGTATATAACGTATCGGTTTTAAAGGCTATGTACTACGTATTTTGGATAAGTGGGACAAAATTGTTGGGGTTTTAAGGGAGGGACGAGTCGTTTACGTGTAAAAATGAGATGAAAAATTGTAATGTAGATTCTATGTATTCAATGTATTCGAACATAGTGGCTAGGGAAAAGAAAAAAAAAAAGAAAGAACTGGATTCTCTCAGGTTGAATATCGACGATGATGATTAAATGATATCATTTTCTGACCGGTTTAGCGTTTTATTCGTTGACACAATCAGCCTCCCTCGTTTATGGGAATGCCGCCATTTCGGTATTAGATTCCGACGGTTATCTCTAGGTGGCGGGAGGGAGTTAGGCAACTTATAATGGGATTCCGCACGAAGCAACAGTACCATAGGCCCCTGTCATCTCCTCATCCGACTTTACTTCAGGCGTCCACCTTTTAGGCTTAACTTTCGATTTAATGATCTAGCATTGTCTAAAGGCGAATGGAAAAAAAAAAATCGTATGGAAATTCTGAGGGTCAGCCGGGACCTTGCTGACGGAAGGAATTAAGGTCTTGCACTAAAATACATATTTGTAAAATTGTTAAAAAGTATTTCGTAAGCCGACGTCATTCAATATGATTGAGGAAAGAAGAGGAGATTCGGGCATTATACTGAGACATTCGGCTAGAGACCGCAGCCTCCGGCGTTCTAGGATCAGCGAACAACAGGACGCGTGGTGCGCGCCGGTGCTGCCATCTTAAGCGCACAAATAGTCATTAAGGGACCGGGCAGTAATTTTGACATCGATGCACGGCGCAACGCAAAACGTTTGGTCGATTAAATGGGACGATGGATTTTAAAAAAAATTTACTCTGTAGATGTCGCCGGCTGTTCTTGAGAAAAATTCTAAACTTTCGGCATCGTTGAAAAAAATTCACTACACGCCGGCGGCGATTTTCGATTTGACGACAAAAATTCGTAAAAAAAAAAAGTCTCGGCTGATGGACGCCGTCTCGATGTTGAAAACTGTCCTGCAATTCTCCGATTAACGAACTGCTTCTTTTTCCAAAATTTTCGTATAATGTGAATAAAAAGCGGCGACTCGGGTAAGCTTGCTGAAAATTCGTGAAAAAAGAGATGTTCGTTGCTCCGTAGGGTTTAAGATCATTACCAGCGAAGTCAGGTTTGTTATATGAAGTAAGAACGGGCCTCGTCGAGCTGGGAAACGGGGAGTAACAGAGAAACGGAGAGTTACATGGGCATTGGCGATCCCTCCGATCGCACAGATTCAACCACACCGCCTAGTAAAAATTATTGATGATCTGCAAGTCGTCTCGATCGTCGAAAATAATTTCTCCTTTGACTCGGTTATGGAAATTATTGGAAATCAACGTCTTTAATCCAATGATCTCAATTTTCCTTTAGCGTAAGGGATCGAACGAACGTGTCACCAACGAAATTGGGTCCTGGTGTCAGCTTTGAAAGAATCTTCTTCAATTACGGTTTTATTAAAAAAGTCAGGGGTTCAGTTATTGGTTCTAATTTAAGTCAGGGTTGATAAAATTTTTGAATGCAGTTTGAAACCCCTGATTTAAATATTGCAACATTTTTATTATTCATTTTGCATTTTTCCAAATTCCTCAAATTTGTCTAGCAATAAATTTGAAATTAGGATTGCTTCATCCAATAATGGAAAACAAGCGACAGGCGAAATGAATTGAATCCATCCTGCCTAGATTTAGTTTAGGATTTTAGAAAAATCATTTAATTTCAGTGGATTCTAATTAGACATTGGTTTTCGATGTGCCTTGACAAAACTTAAGTGTCCTTCTCGCCGATTGTTGAACGCTTCGCGTCACCACTGCACTCGATCATCAAATCTGTTTGTACTTTTTATACACCGAACGCAACCGTTTCGCACCGTTTCCCCCCCCTACCACCCGGTCTCATACGAACGAGCTTCATTGATTCACCAAGTTTGATCACTACAGTACCGTCCAAACTGTACCAGCGAACGGAATCACTGAACTTAATCGGATTTTTATGCATGCGATTATAATTCAAATATAGAAATTGTTTTAAATCATTTCTTTCTATTTTTAATAATAGAAATTATTTAAACTCTCGTTAAAATTCACGCCCTGTATAAATAATCTGCACTTNTGAACTAACGTAGAAATGAATTAAAGCTTGAAGAGATAAGCGAATTAGTACAGGAAGTAACGAAACGAGTACAGGAAGTCCAATGAAGGACTTAAAAGGAAGGAGCTTTCAAAGCTGACGCCATGACGTTGAATCCGAAACAAAGTTGGGCAAAAAGTAAAATCTGCAGTATAATTATAATAACATTTCTTTTAGAAGATTTCTATACAGGCTTGGCTTCATTTTGGGAAGAATTCTATAGGGAAGGATTCAATAAAAACGAGGCAAAAGTCTGTAATAAAGGAAACAAAGATGGCTTCAGTCACAATCCTTTCATTCTAGACTTTTGCCATCCTCTGAATTTGTTTTTTCTCATTTTTCAAAATACACCCCCTGAAAATTCTGCCCACCAGTGAAACAGTCTGTATAAAAAAAAGCCTAATCACTGATTTATTGATTAATGATTGCCACGATTGGTTGTTGGAGTCAATAATAAAAGTAATCATGATTGATTACTGCCCAACTCTGATCCGAACTGATACTGTAGACGCGGTTAAAGATAACGAATATCTCAGGGGTGCAAGTTTAAGCACTAGGTAGGATAGGAAAAAACAAAACAAAACAAAACCAAACAGAATATAGGAAGAGGAAGTTTGGACTCACGCGTTGTCTAGAGGAATCGACGGCATTGACTTTGATACCTTGACCTCGACTAGCCACTGTTAGCAATGCTTCTCAGGAGGAATCGTAGCGATTATCCAATTAGAGGCAAGCTTACGGCGAATGAGATAAGACTACCGCGACTGCGGATTTTTATGCTCGACGAAAATGGTTCTCTTAACTGAATTAAATTGATTTTTAAATATTTTATCTATAGACTGTCTCAATTTTTTATTTTTTTTTAACAAATGCGTAAAGTCCGCAGTCCAATCATCTGCGTAACAATCGTGCAACGTTTTATACAAACTGCTTTCAATCGTATAAATTGGAGAGTTAACGTCAATTAAGAGCATATCAGTTTCATTTAGTATGCCACAGGTTGTCTAGTTTAGTTTAGTTCCAAGCAGTTATTTCGGTTACTCCAATTGCGAGGAGCTACCCGTATTGTAATAATTAATCGTTCATTAATAGACTGCGGATTTAATATATTTATCAAATAATGCAATAAAATAATTTGTTTCCAATGTTACAAGAGGTCTGAGTAAGTTCGTTTTGGGATTTTTATGATAAATCCGCGGTCTCATTAAGAAACGAATGATAACAATCAATCGAACACCAATTATATAGATCTGTGTCCCATGCAGCACTTAACCTACACGTAACGTCGTTCTGTAACATGCAAGTTACACGAGTTGTAACTGTCTATGTATCGTTAAGGACAATTTTATGTTTTCTTGATGATAAATGAATTTTAATTTCGCCTGATTCAAATCATTCGCAGACAAATTTGTCACAAATGATACAGAACTTTGTAACACGTGTGTATCAAGAATGTCACAAAACGTGACATAAATGCTACACATTTCGAACTTGTGACGAATTTTTTAATTCTTATGTTCCAAGTTATATGTATTAACTTCACAAAACGTTACAAAGCTCGTGACCATAGTGTCACAGACAGAGTTACATCTCAACCAAACGTTACAGAGCTGCGTTACGTTTTCGTTTAGGGTGAGTGCCGTGTGGGTATTGAGAAAAGACAGACGGCATTAAGCAGTTAGCGTTGCTTGAATCACGTACAGACACGAAACCATGATCAACGACATTGTAATACGTTTTAGTGCCCGTGTGATGTAGTGAGCAGACTGTTACCCCACCCTCCTATTAACCGCCAATCGCGTATTCCACGTCACGTATCATTTAGTAACCCACGCGTGATCATCGCTTTCGAAGCTATCAGCCTCGACCCTTTGTTCCGGTGCAAAGATTCGCGTACGACTCTTTTGATCCCCCCATGATTTCCTAACCTCTAATCATTTTGTTACCTCCTAGCCTGGATAATGCAAAACCATTAAGATAACGTAATCTATATAGTATATTCTGAGTGACTATAATACCGTTGTTGGTTAAGGTTTACCGTTTCATAGTGTTACGTCTAATCTAAGCTAAATTAAGTTTAGGCGCCTTAGGTCACAGCCTGTATTCTATAACGTAAGTTCGAGAACGTAAACGATTAAAAAGAAAATGGAAAAAAAAGTCTCCGTGCTTCGGTACCGCTAAGATAGCATTAAGTCTTAATTTCGTGGTACCACGTCACGGGTTCATCGTGATTGGACTACAGATCTTCATGCATAGGTGAAAAGCATAACCGTGCTGAGTTTAAACTGCATGATTATTTAATTAGGCATATAATAAATAGCATTCTCTAGCCCTAAACATTCTACGTTGCATAAAAATCTGTAGCCCAATCATGGCGTTTCTACCGGAGGTTAGGTTGCCCAGCAGCCTAGGTCCACGCGCTTACGATTACTTTAACCATTTTACTGCTTGATGGCCGATGATCAGGGTCCTCATAATTTATCCCTCGGCCGGAAAGTGGGGAGAACCCGACTATGGTGGGGATTGGTACTTGATGGGGGTATGCTAGGCATGGTCAGCGAAGGGGCATGAGGAGAATAGTAGTGGGGATCGAAATACGGGCGAAAAAGAGGGGAAGCGAGCCGTGCGGGATAAATTATGAGATCCCTGCCGGTGATCCGGCAGCTACAGACATAGAAATGGGCAGGTACACATTAGAGGCTGAACTATTTCTCGCGTGGTGGTCGAGCTAGCGATTTTAGCTCACGGCACTCGCTGCCAATTCAGTGCCTCGTTGCACTCCCTTCCTCTTAACACGATTCTTTCATGTCAGTTCAAAATGGACTTACAGGATTCCAGGTTAGACACATGGCACGTAATAACCGTTAATCCCTAAATTATTATTCTGTTACTCCGTTTGGAAACACTGAGCCAGGTATGCCAACCTTCAGCGGGAGCCTAGGTGGGGATGCGTTGAGTAGTGTGAGTGGTCAGTTACACGAGGTGGGGAGAACTGTTGGAGTAGGGAGAGAAATGAGTGGGGCATACCTGCACTATGTAAGACTTACAACGAACGGGAGGGGTGAACGTCAAGCAACCTTCTACTATGTAGAGTAGGCTAGGTCCTGGTTCGACTAAACGTGTCAGTAAATAAGTTCTAGCCTCTATTAATAATAATAATAATAA